CTAAAGGTAAGAGAGAAAAGAAATGTGTGCCTCTTTAACACTTTGTCACAATGTTCTCCAGAGTAGTGTCTTACAACTGTTCTTCTCAAGATTTGGGTAGCTAACAACTTTCTCATGATTCAGGTAGTGGACAATATCAGGCAACATAACTTTATTGGCCAGGCTATTCAGATGGCTCACCTGGCTTTACCTCATTTAGTTTTTTTATGGTTGATAGGAGAGGGTGGTCATATCCATTAGGCTATGCTGTACACTTTTGGAAAATGATTAGGCAGAAGTGCTTCCAGGGGTTTCCACGGTGGCATGTCAACAGCATCAAAATTGCAGACAGAACCTGGCAATCAAAGCTCTACTCCTTCTGAACATGCATTGCACATATGCATGTAAAAACAGACAGGACTTTGATTGCTGAAGTCACTCCCACCATTATGATGCTATTTACCCTCCCTGTGGACTCCTCTGAGAGTTCCAGGCATTGTGCAGACCTAAACATATTCAGGAAAGCAGCAGGAGCCATTTTTCCAAAAAGGGACCATTGATTTAAGAGTTATATTAACTGTAATGACTGAATGTCTCCCCAAAGCAGCAACACCTTTTGGTTACGAATGGCAAGTATACATTGGTCTTCTGAAATTGGTCATCATTATTTTTTCTTGTGAGAAATATCTGTAGTAGATATGCTTTCACAGTATAGTAATCTGAATACCAGAAGGTTTATTTTTATTTATCATATACAGGATTTAATGGCAATTGGGCTATGCAATGTCTTCAGTTCATTTTTTAAGAGTTTTTCTGTCAGCTGTGCAATTTCTACAACTGTTATTCAGGAGAAGACAGGTGGAAAAACACAGGTGAGTTAGATGGATTTGAAAAGCACTGCTTGTGTCAAATCTTCATTTAGAAGTATTTGTTAGAATGCGGTTTTCCCAGCTGTTCAAAGCATGCAGGAGGGTGCTTTACAGAGTTCGTTAGCATGAGCAAAGAGTTAAACAACTACAGCATTTGAAGATTTGTTGAGCTTGCCCTTGGTGCATTATTATCGAAGTGTTGTCTGCATGAGCAGTCATGGGCAGACATCTGTTTTAACTCCAATGAGGTCCTATGCTTACACTTACATGGTTGCAAATTGACCCTTCATAAATTTTGAAGGACAGGTGAAATCTCCTTCAGATCAAGCTGAATTCCTGATGGTTTTCTTGGCAACTATCAGAAATGTTTTGCAATTGCCATATTTCAGGATGTCTTTTACACTTTTCAGTGTAACTCATTAGTGTGATGTTTCTTAGTCTCCCATCTAAGAAATAAACAAGCCTGATAACATTTGCCTCTTTGAAATCAAGAAAGATTGACTAAGTATTGCCATCTAGATAAATGTTTAAAACATAACAAGAATTTCATGTTACAGTTTTAAAGACATTTAAATAATAAATACATTAAGAAATAGATGGTCAGCATGGAGTATTTTCAAGAATTTGCTATTCAGGTAGGGTGGTATGTCAGGAATGAGGCAAGTGGTCCAAGGTTGAACCAGGAAACATAGGCATAACGTATCTGGGTTGCAAACTCTGGATGATCACTAGCTGGAAGTAAAAAGCTATAGAAAACACCAACTATAGCTAATACCATCAACACTGGCTGATCCAATCTGGCAGGGTTGGCATGCTCCAGGTTCCTTTGATTTAATAATGGTATCTATTGGAACACAGGAAACATGCTTTCTCTGTAGCAGCACCTGTTGTCTGGAATGAGGTTCCTGCCCGAGATTCAAATGGCCCCCACTCTATTTGTTTTTCAAAGAGCCTTGAAGACCTGGCCCTTTGTCCAGGCCTTTTGTGAGAGTGATTGAAGCCCCATTTTTTCTTTTTCTTTTCCTCTTTTTTCTTTGTTCCCATCTGGTTTTGGCATTTCTGCCACCTTTGTTTTTATTTTTTGTTGTTTCCCTGTTTTTAAATGTTTTTAACAATTTGTAAACCACCCAAAGTCACTAGGAGTCAGACAGCATATACATTTAATAAATTATTACAGGTAATCCTCACTTAACGACCATTTGTTTAATGAAGGTTCAAAGTTACGATGGCTTTGGGGAAAGTGCTTTATGACCTGTACTCACACTTATGACCATCACAAACTGTCACACCACCCCGTGGTCATGTGATCGTGATTTGCAACCTTTTTTATGATGGTCTTAAAGCGAATCACATGGTCATTAAGCAAATTCCAGCAAAAAATGTCCATTGGGGAAGCTGGATTCACCTAACCATGTGATTTGCTTAAGAACCATGATGATTTGCTTAAGAACCATGATGATTTGCTTAAGAACCATTGTAAAAATGGTCATAAAATCAGGTCTGGTCACATGGTGAATCACTTAATGACTGCCCCACTTAATAACCAAATTCCCAGGCCCTATTGTGGTCGTTAGGCAAGGACTACCTGTATTGTTGGCCGCACAGTCAGCCAGATGTTTAGAATGGATTTGACATTTTTATCCATCTATCGAGTCCTTCCCAAGGACCTGGGATAGGCAGATGTTGTTTGATGGTGTTAAAGGTATCATCGAGGATGTAAGCTGTTCCAAATACAGCTGCCTTTTGCAATTGACTGGTGGTGATTTTGTCTATGCTGATAGTTTTCAAGTGGTGCTCCAGATATTTTTGAATTGCACCCAAGGCGCCTATTATTATTGGTACTATCTTTGCTTTCTTTTGCCTCAGTCGTTCTATTTGCAGGTCTTTATATTTTGTGATTTTCTCCAGTTCTTTCTCTTCTATT